AAAGCAAGAATGCCGGGCATTTGAAAGGCTGATTTTAAAACTCACCAAACCCTCAGTCTCAGGGAATAAAATGCTGCACTACCAAAAACCTCTTGAACACTTGTGGACTTGAGATTTTGTTAGGGCTGTGTCACACTGCAGTACTGAACCAGTAACACATCATTACAATTTGCAGTGGTAAGGCACCTGAAAATACTATCACATGCAAAACACTCACGCAAAATACTGGACAGGCATTAGACATTCCTGTCTGCAGGTCTCTTGGCAAATCTGCTTTCCAATCCATTGCCCACTGAAGCACAGATACAAGCCTTGCAATCCTGGAGTTCCACATTTAGTCTTTAAAATTTTATCAAATCCATTGAATATTGTGTATGGATAAAGCAACTGAGTTTTAGGGGCGCTAGAGACAGCCCGGAATATTTGTATTTCCTAAGTATCACATTGGGAATAACCTTGTTGTGTTCCTTTGATCCTGAACAATGTACACACACAGGACAACCTCCAGGGCAGAGGGTTCTTCCCAAAGAAGTTGGGAGCTTGGATGTGGTGGGACTGTATGAGGCAATAATGACAAAAATGGAGAAACAGTGTCCACTGAGGCCGCAGGAGAAGCGTAGGAGTGAGGTGCTGCAGTACAGAGGCTCAGGAGGGATGAAGCATCAGAGATCATTCATAACAAATGGGGTTGTTCCATAATTACATTTACCTTTTTTTTTGAGGCTGCTCTTCATTTCTCCATACATTGCCTGATCCTTTTGCCTTAGTCAGCTCAACTAGATATTCCTCCACAGCCAGTAATGCTGTTATCATTTTTTAATCTCTTTTATCTTGAGGGCTATTTGGAGTTTCCCTACCTACCTCAGTTTATTATCAGCATTGCTCAAGATCCCTGAGAGCAAAAGATCTCTGGGCTCTCTTCGACACAGCTTTTATGCCGTATTTTCTGTTTGTGGCTCTCCTTCCATGGCCGTGGTACCACTATGTGACTCATGACTTTCAACACAGCCACTTTCCGCTGCAGTGGCCCTGTGGCCATGAGCGGTAGCAGAGCATTCACAATTTTGGTGTGATCAGCCTCCTCGCTTTTCCTCTGGGGTTTGAAAGTGGGGGGCACTATCTCAGACACCCAGAAGAAACATCACCATGCGGGAAGGAAGGGCTCTCTGCTCGCTACCACCGCTTGGCACATACCTACTGCACGAAAACATACCTTTATGTCCTTCATAGACCTCAGCAGCAATGGGCTTCAGTTTGTAGGGACTCAGGCCTGCATCATAAATGTGACCACCATCCAAGCTCATGGCATCTGTTTCATTTCTCTAAACAAACAAACAAAAAGATTTAAATTGATAAGGAAAGAGCAGGCACGCGTAAGGGAAAACACCAGTCTCTCCTGGATCCTTGTGGGTGACTCCTTCTCTACAGTGGGGTCACAGGTAACAACCAGTGACGCAGGGGAACAGCCACCAAGCGGAACGGGCTGCTGAGCAGCCCCCAGTGCCCGCTGCAGGTATTTTGCTGACCGCTCACCGCAGTGGCCGTGATGCAGTCGAAGTAGGTCGTTTTCTGCACACAAGCCAAGCCGGGGCTCTCCTGTTGCATGCGCTCCTTTAGCTCATTGCATTTCTTCTGTTCCGGTGAGGATATTGTGCACCATCTGACGGTGGCCTTGGAAGGTGCAGCCAAACACAGAGCTATACAACAAACCAGAAATAGGTAGTCTTAGAGGGGGAAGAAGGCAGCAAATGGAGAAAAACAGCATCTCTGTGAACACAAGATCTCCGGTTCCCTACAGTCATTGCCCTCAAGCGAGCAGACGACAGGACGTGGTCCCTTGCACATCTCCTAAAGCACACAGGAAGGTAGTACCCCAGGTACCCCAAGAGGAACACCCAGAAGGATCATTCCTGGCCCTGGGAAAGGTTCACAATAGCTTTTTCAGTGCGGGCATCTTCCAAGGCATCGTGATTCAGTCAGTCTGAATCATGAGCAGAAGTACAAATCCACGTGCTCCAACAGAAATTGAATGGTTTTCCAAAAGTCAGAAGAGTTTGCAAAAAAGAAGAGCAAAGACTCTCCTTCACAACAGTCTCTTTGCAAATAAGCAAAGGAGCCAGTATCTGTGATCCAGCCAGACTGTATTCAGTATGTTGCCACACACAACCTCTTTAGCAGCTGGATGACCTGAAATATTAAACTCTATATTTCCCACCTCCTTTCCCTCACCTGACAATGGAGATACCATACAGGCTCCACAATACCCACAGCCCTCTCCCCTACGGCTTCTTTTATAGTAGCTAATAAATGCTGCTGACTAGCTGCTCTGGGAGACCAGAGCAAAGCAAAGACTAGGTGGATACTGACCATGGACCAGGACCTCAGCAACCTAAACACAGATACTTTGGAAACTTGCAGTTCAAGAATGTGACCGGTTTCATACCACCTTTCTTGCTGGCCCACACTATATGCGTCACCTTAACTCTGCCCCTTCCTGTCAGGATTGTATGGACCAAGAAGATACACGCATGGCTTTCTCCATGGTGGCAGCATATTATTTAAACATCTTCAGATTAACCTGGGCTATTTCCATTTTCTCTTTCACCTTTGAAATTTTACCTCTTGTTTTCTCTTTGAACCATACCTCTACCAGAAGACACTTCCCCTCTTCTCAGTGGGGGTGCTAAGCTTGGCCATGTAGTGAAATTTTAGCCCTACTTCCCTCTGCCTTAATCTAAACGTTTAGGCTTGGCTGGACAAAGCCACAGCCACCCTGATAGAGCCGGGTGCTGGCAAAGGTCCTGCTCTGGGCAGAGCTGGCCTGGGGACCTCCCAAGGGTACTCCCACCAGCACTCACATGCCTCCACAGATAGACACAGCATGAGCACCTCCATCCAGAGCACCAGCCATGGCCTGCGGGAAGCTGCTGGCAAGGATATGCTGAGTGCAAGTGTTTGCTTTTTGTCACGGCCACTAGTCGGTCGAGCTGCCCTGGTGAAAGCTGGGAAGGCCAACGGAGCCCAAGCGCCATGGCCTCTGTCCCCAAGCTTTTGGACAACTGCTTATCTCCTTCCATGTAGAGAAAGAAGAGGACTATTCATGGCTAGCAACATATCACTGCATGCTATTATTCAGCTAATACTGTACAACTCCAGTGACATAAAGAGCACCTATTATGGGAGGACATTAAAGATCATCACATTTTATGAGGGATCAGAAGAGACTGCCACCTCCTTTCTGCTGGAGAAGCCCCTACCTCTTGACTTCCCAGGCAGGGAAGACAGCAGCAACGTTTAACGTGGCTACCTGACCATTACCTCAAAAATCATGAACACAGAAGAGTGAAATACCTGCTTCAAACAGACGCAACTCTGCAGTGGCACAATTTAGGCATAAAAACGGAGGGACCAAGTGAAGTGCAGTGACAGCAGCAGGCCAGAGCTCCACTTATTAAAGGTGGTCTGGAAGCTTGCAAAGACTCACAAGAACATAGAATCATTAAGGTTGGAAGGGACCTCTAGAGATCATCTAGTCCAAACCCCTGCACACGCAGGGTCACCTAGAGCACGTGGCACAGGACTGCATCCAAGCGGGTTTTGAAGATCTCCAGAGAAGGAGACTCCACAACCTCTCTGGGCAGCCTGTTCCAGTGCTCTGGCACCCTCAATTTTTTCCTTAAGTTCCTGTGGAACTTCTGGAAAGTTTGCTGAAGTTTGTGGCCATTATCTCAAGTTCTGTTGGTGGCCACCACTGAAAAGATTGGTGAAAGAGACAGTGGACAGGATTGGAAGCATGAAAATCCACTGGTGAAAGGTGGGACCTGAGTTTCCCATCTTAGAGTGGTCGATGTCTCACGAGAGCCAAGAGTGCACCAGCAGGAGGTGGCGAGAAGAAGCAGCACCCCGGGAACCAGCAGAGATGTAAGAACATTGCAGCAGCCATGCTACCTTCTGCAGAAGTTAGCAGAGCATGCAGAGGTGCCCCTCAGTGGCCTTTATCTGAGCATTTTTAAGCTCCTGTACTGCCTTCAAGTCTAACCCAACATGCATGCAGGCTCAACACAGAGGTCTCCTAGTTTCTCTCCCGCTTGCTAAGAACAGCAGCAGACCTTCCTCTAGCCACGGGTTGTGCCCGAAGCCCTGGCAAGCACACTGCTGCCTTTAAGGATAAAAACACCATCTTCGCTGAGAGAGCCCCTGCCATATCTGCCAAAGCAAGAGTCTGGCAGATTCCCTTTGCCTGCTCGTTCTGCTTTTGCTGCCATTCCGCAGTTTCCTCTATAAAACACCCTGGTCTAGGGGGTAAAGCCTGGAGTCCTGATAGCTTTTGCTTCCTCTGATCCTCCAAGCTGCCTTCAGCAGACACTTACCCACTATCCCGAAGGACAGCACGGTGGAGAGGACAAGTCTCATACTTGACCAGGGAGTCGGATGCACAGGAGGGGAGTGCGGCAGCCTTGGTCACAGACCGTCCCCTCCAGGTCTGTGATGGCTCTGAAACCGCTTTCTTCCCCTTTTATAGAGAAAGAGCTCTGGCTGTGTTTGCAAAAGCAATGACCTAACACTGTTTGTCCTTCCTTGTTACTCAACTGCTCCTAGATCGCCCCCCTTCCTGGATCAGCCCATTTTTTTTAAGGAGCTTTTCACTTTGGCACCGAATCCCATCGCAGGTGGGAGTTGGAGCAAAGCAAAGTGCGTTTTGTTTCTCCAAGGGGCTTCAAATGGAAAATTCCCAGTTTGTGACATTTGAATCCCCCCCGCAGGCTAAAATGCCATGGGAGGGGCTGCTTGCTTTGTTCCAGCTACCCCCTGCCTTGCACAGCCTGGTCTCCAAAAGTCCCTACTGAGACATGACCCAGCCCTGAATTTTGTGCCTTTGCCAGTAATTATTGTGCTCATCCCCTGCTGGCTTGCAGCGCTCTGAGCACAGGCTTTTTCCCCCTTGCACTGCCCTGGCGATGGAGACGCAGTGCAAAGGCAGTAAACATGCTTTACTGGCAGCCTGGCAAGCAGCTTGCAGCATGCCAGGAGAAGACAGCAACAGCTATCAGGTCATTAGCTGTCGCCCTGCAGCCAGAAGGAATCAACACGTTGCTAAACTGTTGTCACTGCTTGTGGTGAAATACTGGAATTAGTGGTTCCCCCTTTCTCTCCCCATAGGTACTGCTCTTCCTCTTACCCTGAAAATCTTCTCGGTGATGTTTACAGTCATGCCTGGTTTCTCTCTCTGCATCCAGAAACAGAGGGTCATGGCTAGGCTTTTCTGAGACCTGTCTCAATGATGTTGCTGCAGGCCTGATGCCCCAACCTGCAGTGCAGGCTGCAAAACAAACTGCAGAGAGACTGTCACACACAAGAAATGGGGGTTCCTAGACCACAACAGCTAGTCCACAAGACCCCAGCAGCATCCCTGACCATCACCTGCCAGGGTTGGCACCCTGGCCCATACCCCCAACACGGTTACGGGGCAGTGCTGTCCTGGAAAGCAGCTATGCACTAGCACCAATAGCTCTCACTAGTGGGGTCATTCACCAGGATGACCAACAAGCAGCCACCAATTTCAGGATGCCACTGTGAAGGACTCACAGGGTTGCTGGTTTTCCTGCCCTACTACAGTTGGAGGCTGCACTCAGCCTGGGATCCTTGAGTCAGGAGATGGCTTTTGCTACCCGTTTTCCAGCCAAATCCATGCCTTGGC